CCCAGTCACTAAAATCTAATAAAAGTTTTATGCTAATTAATTAAGCCATTAAACTGTGTCTAAGCCCAAAAAGAGAAGTGGATGCAAACATGAAGGGAAGAGTGTTATTGTAAGGACTGTCTTGTCGCAGTGATATTTTGTAACTTTGTTTAATTTATGCCACCTGTTAGGTTCTTCTCACTTTCTGTCATTAAAAAATGTTTGCACAGTTGTTGGTTATGTCATTATCATTTGCTTTAACAATAAAATGTGGGGAAAAAATCACATTAAACTAGCAGTAGGACATGACCACCAAGAATGTATCTCCAGGTTTGTTCCCTTAGCACTGTTTTAATGGTCGTTATCTGTATAATAATTTGCAGAATCCCTTCCACATACATATGACAATGCCTGAGCTTGCTGAAAGGTTGCTCAGGCTCTGGGCAATTCTATTGTTGGATGGGTGCAGGGGTTTGTATGTTCTCAAGTACAAGGAATTGGAGGAATAGCACAGAGGCTCAAGGGAATGTTTGAGGGACAGGTGTAGAGGAAGGTGCTCTGTGCTAAGAGTTTATGTTATCAGTTGTAAAGAGCATTTTCCCTCCATTGATTCTTTTTCAAGTGCCATTAATGGAATGATAATTTCCAACATATTTTACCATAGCTTCCAAGTGTACCAGATCCTGTAGGACAGCATTGGATTTTGCACACTGTACTGCAGTTTCCACACTCTGCACCCAGACCAGGAGGCTGTTCAGAGTGGCAGTGAGGTGTGTGCATTCCAGCACCTGGTGCTGCAGTTATGTTGGGACTGTCAGGCCTAATGATCTCCTGCCTGACAGTAACAGCATAGTACTAATCAGAAGGAGAGAGGCAGAGCATCAGTGTGGGAGTATGTGATGAGGTAACTAAGCACTGAACACATGTGGAAACATTGGACTTATCTTGCTTCCAATAACACCATCAATAAAGGAATTATTTTGCTCCCACTGACACCAGAGATGTAGGATATTTTTGGTCCCACATACAACAACAATAAAGGGTTTATTTTACTCCCACAGATACCAACAATAGTGTCAATACATGTAGAATAAGTCTTTTTGTTGGAGCCATAAAATAAGTAGGATAAACTAAGCGTCATGGTTGATGTCAGTGTGGCACCAATCATGGAGTCTATTTTACTTCCATTGATACCAACATATGTTCAACTGCTAACACTGATTTGGGGCTTATTTATTCTCCCACTGGCACTAACAGTGGGTCATATTTTACTCACATTGACATAAGTGATGGGACTTATTTTACTCACACTATCTCTATGGTATACCCCAAGGCCATACTTTGTCTTAACCATAGCAAGGCATAGGGGGAAAGGTGTGACACTGCCAACCATACATAATTAAGCGACACCCACTTTATTGGTCACACCCATCTTTTGTAGAAAATCGTTTCCTCTTCGGTCAGAATTATCAGCTGCCAGTTTAAAGGGAATTTCCAGTTTTAAACTTCCTATTTTCTGATAATGGGTACATTGTCCACATTTTCACACTGTGCTTGACTGAACGTTATTTTATATGTTGTGCTGCTCCTCATCCTGAGTGGCATCTGGATGGATGGACCCCTTTTGCTTACTGCAGTAGGGACAGTTCAAAAGCAGAGCGGGTATTTTTGCAATACCCCATCTGCTTATAAGAAGATGCATTCCACTTATTTTCTAAGACTCATATGCCCATGAGATGCACCTCTAATTATACTCAGCTTACTTTTCTCCCCTACCACTTTATTCTGCCTCAGGAGTAAAGAGAAGAATGCTTATGTCAGCTCCAGGTTGCTCTGTTCAGAGCTTACACAGAGCTGTTGGCTTTCTGCCTTTATATTTATCATTTGTGATACCACTGGGGCCTAGCACGTGGGTGCCCAGTCAACCAACACTGCATATTGGGAGATATATTGGCTATTTTTCTTTCCTCCAGGCAGCCAAACAGAGTGTAAGGTATGGTTAGTATAAGTGGGTTGTGGGGGAGCAAGGCACATGGTTATTTTAAACTGCTGTAGTAGGCATGATATGATCAACCTCAAGGATGCATGTAATATTGTGATCATATAGGTTTCACAATTCTAAAGAATTGTATACAAGTCCAAAATGACCCAGACCAATAAGCTAAGAGTCCAAATACTTTTAATACTGGTGTTTGTTAAGCAAGACAATACAAAACAGCCAACACGTTTTGAGGGTCCAAATGTATCCCCTTCTTCAGGGCTCCGATATTGCACAAACCTGGGAGGACTCAAAACTGCAGAATTTATGGTGATATAAGCATATGCAGTGCTGTTAAAAATAAAATGTATGCATAAGGACTTTAGGAAGGTATATGTACCAGTGTTTTCAAGGTACAGTTAATCCTTCATTATAGGAGCCGGATTGTGTATGTGACTTTATCTTTTCTTTAAAACATTTAGTGGAATATGAGTACATTCTATGGCACTCCATCTTTCAGGAAGATCAGTTCCAGGTCACTGCTTAGTGCTGTATCTGTCATTTACAGTTTTGCCATAGAAAGGCACAATTTTATTTCTCTTGTCTACATTTCCAAATGACAAGAGCTGACTCAAAAGAGATCTCACTTCAGTCAACAGCCATTATTGTCATTTCCATCGGTACCAGTTACGATAATATACATAACAAAAATATTAAAACTATGTTTACTTCTTTCAGCACCAGTGCCAAATACAACACCATATTATGTCACAATTGTGCATCTGTAATACTGTAGAATGTTGGTAATGGTTAAAAAAATAGTTTTGCATATTACATTTTTTTTTAGCGATTTAATAAATTTTCCAATTTTGTATGGTTACTTTAAAAATACTGCAAGAGTGCATTTGTGTGAGCTTGCCAAATGGAAACAGAAGGTTTGGCATTTAACCAATACCCTTTAATTACTAACTTAAGATATTAAAGCTGCAAGCTTTTGAGATGTCTTTGAACTCTTCTACTTAACTTAGCCAGTAAGGGTAACACTTAAACCCCAAACTTCCTGCATTTGCCAATGGCTAACATAATACAATACCGTTCTTCTGCCCAAAAGGAAACAGATAGATAAATGTATTGGATAGAATGGTAAGCTGAATTTATTTAGCTATAGCATAGCAATATTTCAAGTACAATATGCCTGTGATGTTAGTAATACATTTGCTGATTATTCATGAGAAAACTTCATGGCTCATCCAAATAGATTCTTCATGTCAAACGAGGGTAGGAAATTATCTGGCATTTAAACCATTTTGTGTCATTCAAAAGGCGCAATTAAATGCTCATGTAATACATAGCTTAAGGTGTGATTGTTTTCTGTTTACTAAACATAAACCTCAGTCGGGCGATGACAAGGGTTAAAGGATGTTACAGCAAGATTATGTTTTGCCAATAAGTAGTGTTGAAGGCCCTATCGCTTTTTAGGGACCATTATTATTATATTATATATATTATTATTTGAACCATCTGTCTTCCTGTCCAAAATATGTTCCTCAAAAGGAGTGTCCCTTGTCTTTTTAATTGCAATGAGCTGTGAACAAATGCCCCTTTCCTATAGTGACAAGGGCATTTGATGATAGGTAGTTTTGTGTTCCCAATATATTTTGTCCACTCTTTAGTGTGTGGAAATTAATATTTCACAATACTTTTCCTATGCTTGGCTATTTGGTCTTTCAGGTGTGCAAGCATTTTGCTAGGTTTTGAAAACCTAGACATGTAGTGTTTGCTGAAAACAAAATTTGGAAAAATGTACCACAAGTCTTACATCACTGTGTTTCTCAAACCTAGCAACACAAACATGAACTGATGCACTCATAACATCCAATGCCTAAGCAACCAGTCAGTAAATATATGGCCCCCAAAGGAGGTATTACTCCTCACAATAAGTCCTAACAGACAACTTACATCTTAGAGAACACAGATGATTCGAAAGAAGTGTGAATTAGGCCATCGGCATCAGACTGTAACAACTTCCATAAATCGAGGTGGGTGTCTGCAACACCATCTGGCAGCAACTTACTGCGCTAACATCTTAACTACACTAGATTCACAGCATCAGTTATGTCTGTTGATTTCAAGCTGCATCATTTACTTCAATTCAGACCTACAGTAAAATGCTTCAACTAACTCCTGTGTCATGTGCTTGACATTATGGTATTTGGATTATGGTAATTAGAGCTAAATGTTGATATGTGCAAGCAATATAAGCATCTGTCTAGCAGACAGAAAATGTTTGCAGTTTGTTAAAGTTGAACTAAAGTCTTCTATACTCCCCTTCTCTCCATAAAAAAAGCTCCCTTGCCCTTGATTCAATCTTCGTCAGGTGTTTTTTTGGGTTTGGCATCTTCAACCATCTTGATTGGTCGCTCGGGATAATGGAACTTCTGTGTCTACATGGGAGTAAATTCATTCCGACACCAAGGCATGCTAAAAATGCACACTGATCTGTGCTCTTGTGGCTCAGTGTGCATGTAGAAAAAACTTTGCTGGCAGGCAGGTAAGAAGCATTTATTGCAGAAGTTACATACAAAGTCTCTTCTGACATAAAAGGCTTCTGGCCAGCAATTTTTCTTTTTTAACACTAAGGCTTTTACTTGTAAATGGTTTGTGAAGATTCATAAAACTAAGAGTCTGGTGGAAGGATGTATTTATTCATTAACTTTTTTATTTTAAATAGAGGAATTCCAGGAAAGAACTGTGGAGCCATTATTGTCACTGCTGAAGAGCTGAATAATTGCAGAGTAAGTAACATCTATTTCATTTACAGGTCCCCAGGTTCTGCATATAATGACTGTACGCAAAGTAAACTTGCAGCTAGATTTGTGAAATTTTCATTTTCAATCAGGTGACGCTTGTCCTAAATTGTTAAATCTGGTGTCTTTACAGATGGAGTGATTACCATTTTATCTTGTATAACTGCTATTTATATGGAAGTTAAAGATTTTTGTGGAAATCATTGCCCCCCTCACCTTAAAAATACCCTGTGAGAGTTTATAGTAACAAATGTCACATGCTGTGCAGCTTTCTTCCCTGAAAGAAAAGAGGTCACTTGACCATCTTTGGTTTTTATTCTTCCTCTACATTGGCTTTTGGAAGGAACCCGGTGGAGCCACCACCTCACTGCAGTAACACCCACTCAATAGTGATGCACATTTAACAGACATCCTGCCTGTCTAAACTAATCCACACAGCTGTACCTACATGTGGATGCTAAAATATAGTTTGCCAGATGCTGTGTGTTATATGTGTTTGCAGTCCTGGTCACACTGCATAGCATAAGACTAAAGTCTGTACTCCCCTTTCATACTCCTTACTGCTTCTGTATAGGAGGATAATACAGCACATAATACCAGCTAATACAATGAGGAACATAACAAGTCAGATCTACTTGCGGCACGGCAAGAAATAACACTACATGTACACATAGAGAGCAACACAGCAAGTTACTATTCACTGTTAGCTCCAATTCCCAAGGAAATATAACTTATCTCAGTTTTTTTTAAATAGTTTTCGTTTTAGTCAGGGAAGATTAAACCTTTGATGCGTTTTTCTCTTTTTGTTTCACTCCATTGGCGAGACTTACCTCTATTTTCTGTCCCCAAGACACGGCAGATTGTGTGTGGAAATCTCTCCAAAGTTCTCACTAGAGCAGGTATCTTTGATGAAAGATTTCCCTTCATTTTTTTCCCTTAAAATTTTGGATTTCTCGTCACTTTCAGTCCTAGTTACAATGATCACCAGGACAAATAGAGAGGTTACATTTTCCTAGTGAGGACACAGACAACATTAACAATCTGACAGGTTTTAACCTTTCTCCACTTTATCCAAAACATTTTTTTAAATGGCTATAGGTGAACTAATGAAAAAGGAAGTCATAGGAGTTTCAAATTGCAGTAAACCTAGACTAGATATTGTATACATCTATTAGTAGGTTTAGCAAAAAGAAGCATTCACAACATATCATATTCAGTGTGCCATTATTTGTGCCATGTATTTCTAGGGTATATTTAGCAACATTAGGAAGTGTATGAATGGAAATTGATAAATGACTGGGTTGGAGGGAAATTTAGTTTGCATTATTAAGCTTCAGGTCCAGAGGGATGTGTCAGAGCAGCTGTATGCTGTAATGTATGAGAGTAACTTAAGTGAGACAATTTTGTTGTCTACTGTCTTTTTTTTGATGATTCTCCATTTGAGAGACTTTTTCAGCTTACAAGTCCCAACGTGGGGGCCTTAAATTATCTCTTTCATATAAAACAAGCAAGAGAAGGTTTCATTCTAATGCTATTCTAAGTATACTTTTTTTCACACAAGTAAAACCAGCAGTATAAATATAATTTAAAAAGACAACAAATTAAATTTAAAATCAGTCAGTTGTCATAGGGCAGTGGCTCTCCTGTGGGTCGCAGCCCCCTGTTGAGTAGGTCGCCGCATGCCTTCTGCTGCTCTAGGGGAGAGGTCCCCTCCTAGCGCAACAGTGTTAGTTCTCCTGCCGCACTGCCAGATGTTGCTGCAGCAGCTACAGCCATGGAGGAGCAGAGAGAGGGGCATGGGCAGAAAAGTTTCTGCAGTCAAACCCCCAGGGGTGTACCTGCCGCCGCTGTAGCCGGTGTGGTAGGAGAGGGGAGAGCCATGCGGGCAGGTCCTGGAAGAAACGGAGCAAAGCTGGATGATGGGGCTGTCAGTGGCTCCCCAGGTGATCGCTGTGCAGACTCTGGGATCGGACTGTCAGTGGAGAGCAACCAGAACGTTTAGAAATAGCAGATTTCTATAAAATTATTGATTATAGATCTGTGTCTACAGAGCCGTGGTTCTCAACTGGTGGGTCGGGACTTCATGACCAAGGACAAATGTGGGTCCTGATGTTGCACAGGTTGAGAACCACTGCCATAGGGGACTGTTTATAAAGGATTTATTGTGCTATTTGTCGAGTTAATGGTTTCTGGATGTTAGTTCATCTGTATCTTATAGCATTAATTGTCAGAGGATTCACTGTAGACATTTGGATTTAGTGTGATACCATTTATTGGCTAAATAAATTAATTTTAGTAAAAGCTTTTAAAATATGCTGGCCTCTTTTTCAGGTGATATTTCCTGAATCCTGATTGAAAATGCGGCGGGGTTTTTAAAAAAATGCTTGACTTTTTAATGATAGCAGTCGACTATCATTTTCAAAGAGTAGTGCGCTGTTCACCTAGAATTATTAAAGAGGATTCACCCATGGTTTTAAAAAAAAGATTTGCCGATTCACAGCAGCATAACATGTAATAGATTCCAATAACAAACATAACTTACCCATCATTTAAACAAGATTCATCCATCAGCATCCATCAGGATCCAAATACTGCATAATACAGAAATTCCAATTAAACAAGATTTACCCATCACATTTTAATGCAAACTAGATTAGCTCATTTAGCCATCTAGAAAAATGTCACCATTTTAAGCCATCATGAAATTCCCCCGCCTCTGTAACTATGGGTGCCAACCATGAAAGGCCAGTCATGCTTTATGTAGTGAGTAGAAAAGCAAGACGTCACACACCAATGGTATCAGATGACATCCAACCTTATTGAACCCGGATGTAGCACACTACCGCCCCATCTAGGACCACCCCTCTCCATCGTCTCACCCAATACAGGCTTGATCACAGATATAGGGAGAGCAGGGAGGAAAAGCTCTTTTATTAAAGGGATACATACCATATAAACATCAAGTCACAAAAAGCTACACCACGCTACCAACACATCCCATACTAATATAAAGTCAAGACAAAGATAATTGTACAGTACAAAATTCCATTGATAAAAAATCCCAAAGTCCTAAACTTTTATTGAAAATCTTCAACATGGTCTTAATGTCTTCCTTGTGTAGGGATCTTACTGCTTCAAAACAATTTCCTAAACATGCTTACATGGTTAGAAAGTAGCAAGACCTGGGAATTATCCCTGAACAATCAGACTGAACTTACATATGGGCCCAAGTGGCTAAGAGTTCACAAAATGTTTTAGCCTCATTTAAATTCTTATAAGATAATGTTAAGATGGTACGTGACACCAGACAGGATCTAAATTTGCCCCTACAGTACCATCTGCATGTTTCAGTTGATGTGTATGCTGCGGTACTATGTTCCATAATTGGCGGGAGTGCCCCAGAGTACACAAACTGTGGATTAGCGCATACAACCTTATTAGATTAATTCTTCATTGCAAATTTGTACGGAATGCATGAGAGATTCTGTTAAATGCAAAAATTTCGACTCTCACCAGAACTGAGGGAGTGCTAGTCCACCACATTTTCCTGGCTACCAGGGAGACCATAGCGAGATCGCGGCAGCAGCCTACCCTTCGTTTTGGTGAGGTTGTGACAACTGGTCTCTGGTACTATGGTCAGTGAGAAACTTACTGCTATTCTTAATGACATTCATAACAAAATTCTTAAGATTTGGTCCCCAAACCTTAGGTGGAATACCTGGGATGTTCTTGTCCAGACCACATTTTATTGACCCTTTGATTACCCATCTATGCCGTTGCAGGTTCTTCCCACCCCCCACCTTGAGAGACCCTACTCTTCTCTAACTCTCTTCCCTCTCTGTCCTCCCCCTTTTTTCTCTTCTACTTCTTTGTGATGTCCTATTCTCTCTGGTCACTCTCTTCTCCCATGCCCTTTACTTTCCTCTCCCTTGGCATTAGTTATTGCTACCGTAATGATGATGTCTCTGTGGAATTGGATGGAATATTAAAACTCCCCAAGCCCTTGATCTGCTGTGACTTATTTTTTCCTCTTAGTTTATGTTTATAAAGATCCCATTTATGTTTTAAAGCATTTTCTCAGTCTCAGTTTATAGACCTGTTACCTGATATACAAATTATTTATCTGAGATGTTACCTTTAAATGTTTTCCCAAACATCCATTGGTATCTTTCTGCTTTCTAATGTACCTTTTGTTATTTCTTTTCTTGAAAAACCTTAATAAACTGTTTGTGACAGAAAATCTTCAACATGACTACAAATATGTCAAAGCCAAACACAAATAAGAACAAATCTAATAGAGTACAAGGGCAAAGTGGATGATATAATTTTATATATCTCTCCAATTTATTTTGATCTATAAAAGATCAAGAGCTGAACCCAAAAGGCATGAAGTGTGAAGGAGAAGGGAGGGGAGGAGGGGGGATAAAAGGTGAGAGAGGGAAAAAAGAAACAATAAGAATAAAGAGGGGGTGGGAAGAAAGGAAAAAAAGAGAAAAGAAGGAAGTGAAAAAGGGGAGAGGAGGAAGGAAAAAGGGGAGGTTTAAAGTAGCAAAGTGGGAGAATGGACGGGGAAGGGAAAATGGGGAGAGAGGAGGAGGGAGATGTAAAAAAGAGTGAACAAAACCTGGAAAGAAGAAAGAGATGGAACAAACAAAAATAAAGAAAGAGATCCAGAATATATTTTTAAATCATGCATAATAGTGGGTAAGGTCCTATTCAAATGTTGAGATTTTGGATCACTAAGTTAAAGATCCAATATACTTCTCTTTTACTAAGTAAGAAAAACCTAGCACCTCCCCTAATTTTTAGCATAAGAGAATTGATAATTATCCATGAAATGGCATTCTATGTTGGTATTTTTATTGGTCATAATATTAGACAGATAGTTCATTAAACAGTTACATGACCATCTCATAGTTCTCCCAACATATTTATGGTAGGTCACACAAGAAATAGAATAAAGTACATACCTCGAGTGGCAGTGCACCAAATGTCCAATCTCAAATTAACGACCATTAACATACAACTGGACAGAAAGTGGACCCGCACTACAGTGTGCAGCCATGTACGTTGACTGAAACAAACTAGGGGATGGTACTTTTGCAATTGTGGATTCTTTCTTGGCCACAAACCAAACCCTTGGGGATAGTATGTTCTTTAACTTAAAATGTATTTATTATGGGCAAATACATGTGACCTCCTGTTTTCTTACTAAAATCTGCCCATCTGCTGCATTATACGTAAGGCTGAAAATAAATGCCATAAAATACATAGATTCCTTAAGTTCAAAACAGATTGTAATATTTTTCTAATGTATTTTGGAATTGCAAACCTAATACTTGCATACTAAAAATATCTAATGTGTGGCTATTATTCAAAATATCTTTGCATGAAATTTATTAATTTATTTATGGGGATCCATACCTTGAAGAGAAATACTCTTGTTCAGTAGGGAACAGGAATAGTTTTAAATTTACAAAAAGGTCTAAAACTAACATGTGGCGTTTCTATACTTTGAATAATTACAATTATGACGTGTTATCCATGTCAAGTAGCCATTCCTGAAAATGGGGAAATTCATTTTCCTAGCCATAAGAAAATTGCCCCATAAAAAAAATTGCATGTGCTTTCCAAAATACTTCTTGGTTGATTTTAATTAGTTTTAAGGTCTGGGGATGTAGATGTTCTGTACTTCTAAATATAATGGCCCTAAAAGGTGTTAATTAAAGAATGGAAATTTTGATTCCTTTAAAGCAAAGGATTGGACTTAAATGTTCACTCCATTTAAACGGTAACATTTAAACATCATAGAATTCATGAAAAGACCCAAATTATCTGACCAGAGCTTGTGCTTTTCATGCTTAAAGAATGGAAATTTTGATTCCTTTAAAGCAAAGGATTGGACTTAAATGTTCACTCCATTTAAACGGTAACATTTAAACATCATAGAATTGTGCTTTTCATGCTTTCAGTGTTAGTTTCAGTGTTAGTTTACAACTGGCTGTCTTGCTGGATAACCTCTCCATCTTTATTTCACGCTGACCATTTTATTTCAAATAACAGTTTACATTATGCAGGACTCAACAAGCAGGATGACTGCATAAATGGAAACACCCCTTCATCCCTATAATTAGGGGAACTTTTCCATTCCTCATTCCATTGAACAAAGTCATAGCTTCATAATCCACTCTATCACTGGTTTTAAATGTTCTTTTTCCTCTAAAGCAGACTACATTTATAAATGATACTTGGTCCCAAGTATCAGCTAGGCTGTCATTTCCATTTCTAACCGCACCCTCTCACTTCTGATGTATGCTTAGAGAAGTGACACATGGCTAGAACAAGTAGGGAGGAGAGGTCTTTAACATGTAGATTGTGACATCATAGTTTCACCCATTCTATGTTGTGCAAGATGGAAGCCTCAAATTGGGGAACTAACTAGGTTTCTGTAGAAAGACTTGAATAGATTTTTTTTACACTGGGTATACACCGGCTAGTTGTTAAACTTAATAGTTCATACTTGGCAAAAGTAAACATTGGAAATGAAAGGGTTGCTTTAAATTTCGAATCACTGGTGATCATACGTTGGTTAGTTAAACAAATACTTTTCCATAACATGGAGTGTTTTAGCCAGTGAGCTTTAAACTTGCAAACTGGCTGTTTACATCGTTCAGTACTGAACATCAGAACAAATCCGGCAAACTGGTTTACATATGCCTAATTCTGTTTTTGCCTCAATAATATATCCGTTTTTTGTCTTCATTAGGATGCTGTGTTAATGCAGTTTTGTGCCAATAAACTTGACAAGAAAGATTTTTTTGGAAAATCTGACCCCTTCCTAGTATTTTTCAGAAGCAATGAGGATGGCAGGTAAGTTATTTAATATCTGCTGCTGGTGTTCATGCTTCACTGGATCTTAATTTGAAATCCTGTCAAAGAGAGCTTGAAAAATGATGTGTTCTGTGGGCATTGCCAGGATTTACGAATAACCAATAACATAAGAAATGTTCTTTAAATATAAGCTGAAGTGTGGGAAATTTATATTGATATGAAGACATAATGTAAATTTCAAAGCTGTCTTATGGGGAAGTACAAATATGAGAGAGATAAATAGATTAATATTGCTTTTGCTGCTATGCACAAACTGAATGCAGTGTAACACACTAGATTTTGAGCAATGCTGTTTCTTTAAAGATTTCCAAAGTAACCAAATAGTAGTAGTGAAATAAAAATCCAAATTAATTTAATTTGCATCCGGAAGGAATGTGCTTTCCTTATCTAAACCTCAGTTGCGCAGGGCATTCCCCTTGGCCACATCTACTGTGTGAAAGGTAGGACATTTGCCTTTTTTTTTTTCAACCAAAGGAACTTTGTAACTACATGAGTTTCCAATTTAATTGTACCAATTAGCTGCATGTGTTTACTTGACTTGTAAAAAATATTGAAAATCCAGTCTTAAACAAATAGAAAAACAACCTATTCTCTTTAAAATTGCTGCATTCAGAATCATCTTTTCTTACTTTAATGGACAATACTATTTCCAAATACTTTTTCTGAAAGAGCCATGCAGAACATTTTTGGTATAGAGATTGGTTGATGCACCTAATACTCCAGCTGTTGTCACTTAGATGTTTGTACAGAGATATACTGATTACAAGTTTAAGAAAACTGCATAGAATGTGGTTTTATGTTGCCCATACTAACAAGATTATTCACAAAAGGGTGAAGAGTTTGTTGAAGGCAGGAGAAGTGAACAATCTAGGACAGGGCTAGCCAAACTCCGGCCCTCCAGCTGGGGTGAAACTACAAATCCCATGATGCATCTATTTCCGGGAGTCATGTCTGTGGCTGTGAGAATCTCGCAATGCCTCATGGGATTTGTAGTTCCACCACAGCTGGAGGGCCGGAGTTTGGCTACCCCTAATCTAGGACAACATAGCTGAACTGGAAAGTGAGCTGAATTTGCGAATGTTTCCTAAATAGGCTATTTTGGCCTAGATAGTTCTCTTCTGCTGCCTTCTCCAAACTCTTCACCCTTTTGGGAATAGACCTGTAAGTATTTGCTGCTTTTTAGACTTCATGAGCCTTTTAACAACTTGGGAGTCAGACTAAACCATGAGAATTACTCTACACCTCATAAAAGCTTCTTGACAACCAAACTATACTTTGTACCAGTGGTTCTCAACCTGTGTAACCTCAGGACCCACATTTGTCCTTGGTCATTAAGTCACAACCCAAGTGGCACTGCAATGGAGCTTGCGTTACCTTAATGCATGGTAGGTGCGATTGCGTGGTGCAGTTTAACACACTGTTTGAATGGGCCCTCAAAAACACTGACATACATACATCAGGGGTGTACAGGCTAAGTTAAGTGTACAGTGTGGAGCCGCCGCTTGTTTTCAGGTGATCTGATCATTTATCAGATCACTTGAATTAAACGAGAAGCGATTCTGTCCACACACACACACACACACACACCCCCCCCCTGTGGTTTTCGGGATCCCCCGCTCCTCTGGCGAACCCGAGACCACGGAACATGAGCTCTGTGTTATCACTGAGACCGTGGCGCTGTAATCACAGCGCCACCTGTCTCAGCTGTCAGGAACTACACAGAACATCAGTTCTGTGTTGGAGGGCAGGTTCCATAAAGAGAACCTGTAACCTCCAAACTATCACTTAGAGGATTTTAAATCCCCATGTGATAGGAATACAATTAGGTGGGGGTAAAAAAGTTATAAAAAAGTAAAAAATAAATAATTATATTTTAAAAAAAGTGACAATGTAAAAAATAAAATAAAAAAATGAAAACCAACCTTGATGCCCCCGCCATCTGCATGCAAATAAACGCACGCATAGGACATTGTGTGTGTGAGTTGAGTGCTGCCACCTTTTCACTGTGCCATATTGTGGTAGCGAGGCAGCAGAACTCTCTCACACGCACAATGTGCATTAAAGGGCAAGTTCACTTTCCCAGGTAATATGGGAAAATGGATTTACCCGATCAAATCTGGCCCCCGTCTCTCCCAAAAAACCCCACCCCCCGGCTATACTTACCTTTCGGCAAACAGTCCTTACCCTCCGCCGTTACAGGTGTACTGTCCTTACCCCGTACTGTGCATCGCAGTCTTGCCCTATGCATTTTGAATGTCGCTCGCAAATTGCAAGCACTCATTGGTCAGCGTGGTCTGGGGACCACGCTGACCAATGAGAAGCGCTATTTAGCACAGACAATACAGTTTTGATTAGGGATGCACAGGTACAGAGTATTTGGGCAAGTACTTGTACTCTTTTAGCCCTTGGACAAGTAGTTTTTTGAAAAATGTCCACACCCCTGATACATACACAGACACAATCTCACACACTCACATTCTCAAACACACATACACAATCCCAAAAATGTTGCATTTACGAGAACTGGAGTGGATCCTTAGCCTGGGGTCCAGTGTTGGCTGCTGTGCTGTGACGGAGCTCCAGCCATATGTGAATTGCTTGTGCTGCTCCTTTGTGCACCCTGTAGAGGTGCCAGGAGCCAGAATATGACGTCACTCCGGTCCAGGCACCTCTACAGGACATGTGAGGGAGCTGTAATCAATGCACGTATGGATGGAGCTCCCCCGCGGCCATAGCCCCATCCCATCGCTCCTCAAGCTGACACTCGGTGTCAGGCAGCATATTTTGAATGGCTGCTCAGCAGGAGAACTAACAGTGCAGCGCTAGTGGGAGGCTGAGAAGCCTCTCGCATAGAAAAGTGGAAGGCATGCCGCGACCCACTTTTGGGTCATGACCCACCAGTTGAGAACCAAGGCTTTATACCAGGGGTGCCCACAAGGTCGATCGTGATCACTGGTAGATCGCACTGTCCTCTCCTTACGAGCAGTGAGGGGAGAGAGAGGCGCCGGCTGTCAGATCCTGGCCGAGCGTCTCTCTCTCTCCTCACCGCTCTCTGTCAGATCCTGGCCGAGCGTCTCTCTCTCTCCTCACCGCTCTGCATTAGTTCTGTGACAGCATCTCCGCCCTCCACCGCCGCCGGTTCCTTCACTTCGTCTCGGATCCCCGCTGGGGAGAGCAGCTGGGATCCAGAGAAGCGGCGGGAGGAGAGGACATGGCGATCTACCAGTGATCGCTATGCGATCGACTGGTAGATCGCGATCGACCTTGTGGGCACCCCTGCTTTAGAATATGTATTTTAGATAAGAGGCAACATATCAATCATTTCATGTCTTTGCAAAGTATTGTGCCATATATAAAAATTGGATGGTTTTAACTAGATTCAGTTTTTATACTAAGAGATGACTTTTTAACATTTAACACTTGACATTTAATTCCAATGATTATCTTTTTCAGCTTTACAATTTGCCACAAGACAGAAGTAGTAAAGAACACATTAAACCCAGTCTGGCAGGCATTTAAGATTCCAGTCAGAGCTTTGTGCAATGGGGATTTTGACAGGTAAGACACTGACACATTCTGATCTTTTACCAATTTGTAACGGCTGTATTGTGATATTTTCAGTTCTAGTGTTGTGAAAAGAATTCCATTAAGAAAATTCTAGAACATTTAACAAATATAAGGAAAGGGCAAATGTCCTGAAAGTATGTTAACACAAAGCACAAACACTTCCAGAGACTCTTCCCATAAAAATTAGAAATTTGGTATTCCGTTAAAGAAAAATGATATAAAACATGAGTTTATCATCTTTATTTGACAAATGTTTAAAATAATGTGATTTGAGGGTTATTCCCAAAGCTGCCAAAGGCAGCCAAGTGAATAACCCAGCCGAAGTGAAGTGAAGCCGAATGCTGTTCAGCTTTTCACTTCTGGCTTGTACAGCTGATTTCAGCTGTAGAAAGAGTGCAGAGGGACTTCGACTCAGCCGATCCAACATCTGGATTAGCTGGGCCGAATCTCCGGCAGCTCAATCGCTGCAGGTTCACCCCTATTCTCATAGTGAATATATTCGGCTCGGCTATTCTGCTCGGTAACTCCGTGGTACCGAGCAGAATAAAAAATAAGTGAAAATAGTGTATATAAAAAAAGGTTGAAAAATAATTTTTAAAATGATCAAAAATAGGAAAAGTAAAAAATAAATAAAGATATTTTAAAGAAGAAAAAAAAAACAAAATGGGTGAAGCTAGCAGTGCCAGCTAGCTCCGCCCAACTGTTTCCTATTGGCCGGCACCTGCTACAGTCTTCCAATGAATAACAATGAAACAATGAATAACAACTGGGCGGAGCCGACCGTGACGCCATGGCCGCCTCAACCCAGTTGTTATTGTTTAATGACAGATCAGCGTCCCGAGGACGCTGATCTGTCATTACAACTGGGCGGAGAGAGCCGTGAGATCACCGTCTTCCGCCCTGCTTCGGCTCTGGCTGAGCCGCTCGGCCGCCTTCGACTGCTGTAGGGCTATAGTGAATAGCCCGTACAGCAGCCCTTCGGTTCGACTGAACCCTGAAGAGACTGAACCCTGAAGAGAGCCGAAGAATCAGCCAAAGCTACGGCTGTATCCTTTGGATCAATAGTGAATAACCCCCTTGATGCTACTCTGTAAAGCTTGATGTACTTTCTACAACAAAGGCCAGCACTAACTGTATGCCTATAAATTATGGAGAAAAGTATTCTTGAACATAATATATAAATAAAATACATGAAAACCACTACAAGTTCTATTTAAACCAAGCCTATTCTTGGAGTAAAACTACTCAGGTGAGATCAGTACTAAATAGCAGGAACTACAGGGTGCTTAATCAATACCTGCTTTGTAAGAAAAAAAAAAAGCCCCCTGGGTGCTGTCACAGTCCCCAAAGTACCCTGGTTTCTGGAGGATAATAAAAACAAGTCCATGTTCTCCCCCTCTCATAGTGCAACACTGAGTGACATAGTGCCACACTTCCACACTTGGTCTTTGTCAGGTCAAACCTGGAAACTTGCATAAGCCTATGCAGATACCAACACATCAGTAGAGTCAAAAGCTACAAAAGGAGCTACAAAAGAACTTCTAGTGGCACCTGAAATAACCTTTTCCCCCACATAACCTTGTAGTGCCTTCTAATTAATGGTCAGGTAACCTAGTTATATGTATTGCCCATACAGATACACTTTAAAGTGTGCCAGCCACATATAATGATGTAATGTTGTAAAGCAGATTGCAAAAAAATCCCGTTTACAGCTAAGATTCAAATTACTGCTGCCAAATCAGTGTTTTTTACATATAGTATGGACAGTTCAGATTTTAGTTTTAAAGGCCACATTGAATGTAGTAATGCTTAGTAACAATGCTCAGAAGAAGATCATTTTTTCTTAGAGGAAAAATTTTACTAACAGTTTCTAATTAGTGAGTTGCTACATGCCAAAGTACCATTTTGGTGGTGATATATTCCTTTTACACAACATTATAATGTTTTTAAATCAACATATTTTAAACAGAATATTTAGTCTTAACACTTTGAAGATAATATGTAAATGATATCAGGTTGTTGGAAATAATGTAATTCTTGTGTTAATGTTTTTGGGTACAGCCATGTTTGCACAATATACATATAGGCTCTGGTTTATACTTTGCTGTTTTTCATAAGGGTTATGCTTTACTGCTTTTTCTCATAATGCAAGTCTGCCAACTCATTAAAAACAAGAATAATTTATCAAAATTGGAGCAGACAATCTGGAGCAGTTGTCCATAGTAACCAGTCAGCTTCCCTCTTTCATTTTGTATGGGTAACTACTCCAGATTTTGTCTGCTCCAGTTTTGATAAATGCTCCCCATCCCCCAATATTCTTATTGCTGATATCTTATCTAATCAGTTGTTAAAGGTAAACTGTCAGAAGAGAATAATGGAGGCTGCCATCATTGCCATACTCTCTAGGCTGTCATGCTGAAGCTTTGACTTCAATGCAGTCTGAATCACTAACCCAGAACAAGTATAGAGATAAAGAATTCTAACTTCTTTTCTGACACTCATTTACAGCATGCTTATCCTAGGTCAGTAACTCAAATTAACAAGTACTGTATTCCTGTATTACAATGCTGATGTTATAACTGGATAGTATATACTGTGCTAGGGATGTTCAGATACCAGTGCCGATCCCGATGCGGGTCTATATGTAGCAGTCCATCAGTGCTTGTTTTTTCTGGAATTAAAGTTAAAGGAGAACTATGAGGTGAGTGCGTTTCACTCATCCTCATAGTTATAGCTGACCTGTGACAATGAGACTGTCACAGGTCGGCTCAGTAGACCGGGAAGTGAGCGAACACATAGCGGTGTTTGCTCACTTCTCGATCCTGTCACGGCTCTCTGCCGTGACAGGGGAGGGACTCGATTCCCCCTTCCCCGCTCCGATCCTCCAGTGCTGACTGGCGGAATGGACGGGGGCGAGTACAGCTGGCTCTGCCTCTAGATAGGCAGAGCCAGCTGTCACTCACGCAGCTGGGCGGATCCAGACATAATTGTCGGGATCCGCTTCAGCTGCGTCGTCTCAGTATACCGCGAGCTGTGGCTCGCGGTATACTGAGCTTTGGGTGACGGGAGGACGCTAGTTTGTGTCCTCCCATTACCCTAAGGAGAACTATGGGGAAAAGCCCTAACCCCATAGTTGTCCTTTAATAACTTGCTCTGTTTATTTAAAATTAGCTGATGTGGCTTGTAGCCATTTCATACACAATAATTTGACTTTTTGGGACAGCCGATTCCAGATTACTATATGTTTCTGCCACAAGTGCCACATTTTAAATATATACTTGCTGCAACATTTTTAATAACAGGATCTTAAAGTGATCCTGGCTATTGCTATCCATCTAGAAGTACCTAAATGCATAGAGAATGTTGTAAATGCTTTATTGTTTCCTTTCTTATATTACAGCTCTGTAGCAATCCCTAGATAACAGCTGTGAGAATTAAGTTTAGGCACTTGTGTTCCAGCATTGTTTATAAACGTTGACTGGTAGCAGGACATTTTAAACATACTCCTGGCTGCTTTAGGAGCCGGGAGTGTGCTTAAATTTCATAGGCCGCCTGATTACTTCCACCACCCCACCTGAAGGTGCCATCCCCCATCTTCGCTGGACTGCCCCTGCCATGTATCCAAGGCTACACAGGTCTTTCTGTGGGCCCGGGACAGGCATGGTGGGTGGAGCAAAGAAAGGTGCACCTATTTACTGATCTGCCCTCAAGTCAAGTGAATGAATGCAGAAGCAATAAGGATGTCATCACTTCTGGGTACAGAGCTAATCAAGCATGATCTAATAGACCCCTGATGTCTCCTTAAAGAGGACTGGCCATTTCTACTATGCTACCACATAAGGGGTTAAGTGTAAAAAAAAGTTTTACAAAATTAAAGCGACATGAAAAAAAAATGATTATTTTTAAAACTCCCAAAGCCACACACATGCATGTGTAAATGTGAGTGGCATGCATCTACATCCAGAAATTGAGATTGTGCCTCATGTTAGTGAAAGCAAGAACTCTAGAGCCATTTTTCACTATTAATTTTAAACTGATAACCAGAAAAGGTTTCTAAAGTGTCACCAATGGACAGTTTTGAATACCAATGTTTGTTGCCGTTTCACATGTGCATTCAATTTTAAGGCATGTTTGCTATCTATTTATTGTGTAACCTCATTTTGTGCATTTGACCTAAAATGGGTATTATATTGTAATTGTGTACACTAAAATTAACTTTAGTGTATTTTTACAGAAAATGTGGGTTTTGATAAAGAGTTGCATACATTTTCAGGCCTCAAATGTGCATTTTATCATGTGTACACAAAATGTAAAAATGGCTCTGGTAGTGAAGTGGCTAAAAATGGACTTTACCTCCTTTTTCTTGAGCATTCTTCATCCATTCTTTTTCCATTGGCTGGATTTACTGATTTTTTTATTGGTTAACTTCAGGCAGTAGAGGAAAAATTATAATTTCAGCCAATCTGGAAAAGAGCGATGATTTTATAAGGACATACTAAATGGCGACAAAGATTGCACACGGGCCTTTTGAAGGTAAAATAGATTTTTACAGAGTTTTCACAACTGCTGTCTAGGGATTACTAGAGAGCTATGACATGAGAGAAATAAAGAGCATACATAAAGAGCTTACAAATCCCTCTATACACGTGTAATGTTAGATGGTTTAGCAAGAGTAATGGCACAGTTTACTTTAAATGTAGTCCATTCTGGGGCCAGCTCTAATGGAATTTTATTATGTTGTTAAATATGGATGTGAATAGTGAAGTGAACCTGTGTGTATGTCATACATAAACACAGTAAAACCTCACATTTTCAAAAAAATATTACTAGATGTGTGAAGTGGACATGTAAAGAGAATGTATAATGTTTTGTTTATATTTTTCTTATTTATTTTGTATTGGACTAAATAAAATGTTTTAATTCCTTTCTAGTCAGATGATATTGTGTGATTAGCAGGTCTATTCACTAAAAGGGGAAGATTTTTATCCATTGCAACTTTATTTTTTTAAATTATGGTGTGTTAATAGATGTGTTTTCATTAAACAAGACGCTACAAATGAAAAGAAAAATCTGTGTTTTATTCTGAATGATTCATTGCCTTAGCTATAGAATTTAATCTGTATGTATTAGTTAATAGATACTATAGATAGGAACACATTGTGATATCACTCATCATCATTGTCTGAATACTATATTCATTTCACATTGTGTAATGCATTTTCATTTATTTTTGTTGACAGAACAATTAAAATAGAAGTGTACGATTGGGATAGAGATGGAAGGTATAGTAGCAGCTGTTTATTCATTAATAGCAGACCTTTATTCATATGCTTAATTAACGCTGTTTCTTTACGGAAAAGTTCCTTCTATGCCAGTCATGTGACTAAAACCTTAAATGTAGTCATATGATCTATGCTAAAGGAGGTGAACACCAAATCTAAATAATCAGAGATTCCATCTTTAATTTATTACAAGACTGTTAACATAGCTTTAAAGCTCCAGGTATAAATATATCCCCTGGCCACTCAAGCCAACCATGTGACCCTTTGTGTTTTCATAGCAAAGAAGAAGTTGCTCATCATAGAGGCAGTACAGGACCTGGAAGATTACTGTAAAGCATTGCATTAGCATCAACCACTACAGTGTTTTACAGAATCTCTCTGGCCCTTCCAGGTATAAAATATGTATATTAACATTGGGCCAAGCTGGACCAAGGTAAGCATACATAAAGCTGCATAACTGGAGTTCAGCATGTTAACATTTGAGCATAGATTCTCAATAAGTGGGTAATGTGTGTTCAAATAAAATATTTAAGATAGAATGTCTGTCTTGTTTATCTATCTATCTATCTATCTATCTATCTATCTATCTATCTATCTATCTACCTATCTATCGTCTCCCTATCTACCTTGCTATCTCTTAGGCCTCTTTCACACTGGCCGATCAGGAGAGGATACATCAACAGATCCTTTCCTGATCAGAGCGGCACAGATCGGATGTCACTGCTGTGACAGCCGTGTCCATACAGTTTTTTCCTCCATCTTGTGATGGAGGAAAAAACTGAAAGTGCCAGAGCCCACCCAAGTCTACGGGGAATCTGATGTAAATGGCATGCGTCCATTTACATCAGATTACTTCCGGTCCGGCAAGATCTAAACAGACGCTCATCAGTTTAAACCCGGCTGCCCATAGACTTCCATAGAGCGTCCGATCGGGTCCGGTTTTAAAACTGACAGGCGGAACTGATCGGACCGTTCATGTGAAAGGGGCCTTAGACTTTGCAAACTAAAACTGAAAAAATTAAATCAAAACAATATGCTATAATAAGAAATGTTTCCAATATATATAATTTTACACATAAACAGTGACACATTAAAAGAAAGGAATATTATGGAGAGCAGATCCACAATAGTCATGTCACTGTAAATTAAACTACTTTTTTTTATAGTAGCCATGTCCACCTCTTTGAATAGACACACTGCTTTCCTAATTTTCAGGGTGGAATCCCATATTTTAAAAGTTTACCCTTGATTTGTGCTCTTAATAATTCTGTGTTTTTCAACCTGATCACCAATAAAGAACTCATACATTTTAGGCTATTGTAGACTTTCATACGTCAGCAGTCTTTTTTTAATGCAGAGAAACATTCAGTACGAATGTAGTATTTTATAAGCCACTTAGGTTTATATATTGACATTAGCATTTTATGGGATCCTTTGTCACTTTAGACAATATTGGGTCGGGTAAACATATTTATTATTTATATTAAATAGTTTAGAAAATATTGGTAACTATGAATATTTTATCGAATAGATTATTTTGAACTACAACTGGCTAATCATTACATTACGAAAATGTTTAACTATGTTTTATACACCTAATTAGGGATGCACAGATACTTTTCGAGTACCAGTGCAGATACTTGGCATTTTCATGAGAACTACCAGGGTTGCAGCTGGGACCTAGCTCTGGCGCTCCACCACTGTCCTGAAATCATTAGTCTGTATTGTTTTAGAAAAACTGTCACATGACAATAAACAAAAATGTATCAGTACTCGTACTTGTAAGTACTCGGCAAGTATCAGTACTCGTACTCGCAAAACTGGTATCTGTGCATCCCTTTATTTACATTTATAAAAACAAAATTATACATTATGACAGAGATGTACAAATCCCGGGAGCTCCGTGTGCTCCTTACAAATGACAGCGGCCTCCTAATTTTTGAACTTTTCTCTAGTCTAGTCTTGGAGCTGGAAAGTATCGGTACATGTACTCGTACTTGTACCGAGTACTGTACTTGGTATCTGTGCAACCCTACACCTAATCATTTTTAATAAAGCATGGCATGTACTGTACATTTCATTGCGCTTTCAGTGCTGTGAATATCAATCTATCAGCAGGAACTGAAATTGTATTTTAAAAACAACACCAATAAACACTTGTTTGCAAGTTTAGGTCAGCATTTTTTTATAGGATGCAGAATTATCTTAGTGAAACCTATCCATCTTGGTTTGGAACATAAATGAATGTGTACACAAAAGGTGAACAGCTGTTGGCTCTGCAGAGTTTGCATCTTTGGTTAAATTGCTGATCAGAAGTCAGTTCTTGTAAAGCAAAAATGCTTTTTCCCGCAGCACCTTGTATATATTATCAAGTATCTGAAAGTGCTAAGAAAGGCATTGGCACCAGTCTTTTAGATTGGTGGAATGAATACAAATTACACAAGGTTTAGAGGTTGCTTCTGTACAGAACAATGCAAATGTCTGAAATCCGCAAAATGGGTTACTGAACTCTTGTTCTACTGCAACACAATGTATCACTTATTGTTAACACTGATTGGCATAAATCCAAATTGATATTAAATTAGGTTAAATGTATGTTATTACTTAAATGTAGTTTCTGCTACAAATCAGGGTTAATTTACTAAATGTCTAGAGCATGTTTACTTTGCAAAGGGGATTTTCACTTAGCTTAGTAAATGTGGTGAAAATTGACTTTGCAACGAATACCCAATCACATGCAAGAGAAATTAAAAAACAGTAGTTAGCCTACACATGATTGGATGATGGAAGTCAGCAGAACTTCACATCATTCACTAAACTAAGAAAAAATTCCCTTGCAATGTGAGAATTCACTTTGCCAAGGGAACAGCCTATTTGCCTTTATATAATTAACCCTAGTGCTCTGCCTTCCTGATTCTTGTATTTCACTACATGTCTACTAGACAGGGTACATCAGATATTTTAGTCTCTGATGTCATAAAACACTATGCTCCTGGTAGCCACGTTACATGTGAACTAACCAATTGGATCTGAATATTAGTACGCATATCCTAGGGGGTCAGCTAATCATTGAGTGTTTGTAACCGCTCTCCATCCTGACTCCTTCAGCTGGCACAGGATGCAGAGCTGGGGGTGTGAGGGAGGAGAGCTCAGCCTCCTGTTTCAGCTGACAGCTGTCTCCTCCCCACTCTCCATCCTGAGTCTCTGCCTGTCACAGGAGTCCAAACGGGGCAGTGCGGGAGGGGAGCTCGGCCTCCTGTGACATGCTTGACAGTGCTCTCCTTGCCCTGCTCGGCCTCCTGAAGGTTTCTCTCCTCCCTGCTGGATGCTGCTCTATGTCAGAGGGGACACAGTGCAGTGCCCAGTGGGAAGGAGAGAAACTTTGGATGCACCGCAATGTTAGGCGAAAAATTGTACTTTCAGCATTACTGGAAGTGCACCGGCTTACTAACATTTTGTCACTTTAGCATCAGGACAGTTAGGTCTCATCATAAATCTAGGTCTGTTTACGTTATGGTGTGCTCCTATGAAATCCACTAAGCAGAAGATGATTGTTCTCAGTAAAGACGATGTTTGAAAGGTCTGATTAGTTTCAGATGAATAGTAACCCCCCCTGCATGTGGCCAGCTTTAAATTACAACAGCATGTGTTCTTACACTACTATGCATAAGTGCTGATAGGTCTTCTGACAGCGGATTAGTGGATATGTCATCTTAAGTGTTGCTTCTTTTAGCAACATTTCTGATAAAGAGACAGGCAATGTGCAATCTGCTAGGTTCTTTGTGATATCAAAAGAAAGGATCAGTTATGGAGGAAGAGTCTCTATAAAGTAAATCTGTCATGAGGGAAATATAATGGCTGCAGTTGCTGACCTACTGACAATGCTTGAATATTAACCCACCAACTTCTGTCACTGACCCAGACCATGTGCAGGTCAGGAAAGTTGTGGAAAGGTCAAAGATCCTTGATCAATGATTTTAAGTATTGATGCCAGAGTATCAGCATGACAGTCACGAAACTAGCAATGGCGGGCTCCATGTTTTCCTATTACAGGTTTCCTTTTAAAAAAAATACTTTTTTATTGCAGAGATGTACAAAGATGCAAAGCCTATGCTTGGCTTTTTCCAGAACAATTTTTTATTCAGCAAATCATTTATTGCCAGCCCTCTCATCTACTGACCTTACTAGCATTATACATTTGCATTACCTGATCAAATAGAATATAACATAATAGTCTGAATATATTTATAATCTGCCATGAAATCTTACATTAGAGATTATAAGCATTACAGAGCACATTTCTGTTAACTTAAGGAAGGCAAATCACAGTTAAGCTTAGAGTGTGTTTGTACTCCGACACTAACTTGTGTTATGTTAATCTATCCTGGATGTATAAATTAAGGAAAATACAAGGGCTTAATATATTATTGGAGAATATACTACACCATGCTCCCTCCAGGCCTGCTTGTATATCCACATACCTAGGCATTTGGTTACTTGTTTCCCGATGAAGGCGGAAATTGGTGCAGATTGGCTAGTCCTTCTGTTTTGCAAACTATAACCAGACTAAGCTAAAACTAAACTTGTGTGTGTGTTAGGAGCTCTGATGAGAGCTTGGAGTAGCATTATCAATGTGAAAGATAAATGTTGAAACTCGCATGTTACCTTTAATTTAGTCATACCAGCAATACCGCTTTATAGGAAACCTGTATAGAGACATATGTAGGCTGAATTTGCAGACCGCCTCTTTTAAAGATGTTAGTTGCCTGGCATTGATGATGATCTGCTGACTTCTAATAATGTCACTGTTGTAAAAAAAAAAAGGTAAGCAGAGCCTGAGTTCTGATTTCACTGGCTTAATGCCTGCTCTGAGTCTGTGGGGGAGATTTACTAACCTAAACACACGCACGCACCAGGTGCGTGTGATTTTCACACAGCAAAACGTATTTATCAACCAAAAAGTCTCTAAAAGCATATTTCCAATAATGCCATACATGGAAAAATCATGCACATGATGCATATATAACGCTGCTTCACATTTTAGACAAAAATGGTTAGCTCATGCATTTACATTCCTGCATTCATCAACGCAAGCAACCCAACATAGAGCTAATTTACACAACATCACCTTGCAATTCATGCTTGGCTGTGCACAACACACCTGCTGGGTGTGTACACACTACAAAGGTGTTTAGATTCCACCCATAGATCATGCTGGGAGGGAACACACTACAGAGGTGTATACATGTTCGTGGTGTGTTTATAAGGTTAGTAAAT